ATGTTAAAAAAAGGCATGTTTTTCTCCATGGGACTTTTTTTTTTTTTTTTTGAGAGCTGCTCATCATAGCGTTGAGAATCCCTTGTGTGCATTTTCCCCAAAGCCTGTTTTATATCTCAATTGCTTGAGCAGTGTGTTCCTGGGAATTCTGCGCAGAGAATCATCCTTCCAATTGGTTTTAAAATGTGTGGTGATAAGTCAAATTAGTACTTTTCTTCTGGCAATTTTAAGTAATAGAAGTTTTACCTAATTCTCTTGCTTCTCAGCTCAGATTTCTTTCCCAAGGTCAGCTGTGCCAGTCAACCACATACAGAATCTTGGGTTTTGAGATTTATTCAGTTTGCTGAAGGCCAGTGGGTGTTGGTCTTAAAGCGGAGGCAGGGAGTACTGCAGGAGCCGTGCTCCACTGGGAGCTCTTTCTGAGTGTTCCAGACTGGGTTGCTCAGGTGTGGGTGAACCTCAGAAGGAAGGGCTGCCGCTTCCTTGTGTAGTCATGGCCAGTGCCTGGGCTCAGAGGCTCAGTAGTGAGCCATTGTCTTCCTTGATGGGTCAGACACACCGGGGGATTTCCAGATAAGCAGGAAGATTACTTTAAAAGATCCCCATGTAATCAGTCTATCGTCGTATAGACAAAGTTTGTTCTGTATAAGACACTTAAAATGTTAAGCCACAGAAGGAGGGAATCTGGGAGATACCGTGATTAAAAAAAAAGCAAAAACAAAAACAAACAAACAAACAAACAAAAAAAACCAACCTTTTTTATCTTTCTTTGTGTGTGTGTGTTTGTATGCCACATGTGTTTTGGTGCCCGTGGAGGCCAGAAGGTGTGCAATCCCTTGGAGCTGGAGTTCCAGGCAGTTGTGGGCACGAGTTCTGGAAAGTGGCTACCGTCTGAGACGACCGTGCTTTCCCCTGTGCTTAACTTTTGTCATTTTCCAGCCTGAGTCGTATTTGTTAGTTTTGGAAGAGACAGAGAATCAGAGAAGGCGACAGCCGAGAGCCGGTTCCCCCATGCGGTGCTGTGATTTTCTCACACTCCACAGGGTACTGTTTGGAGTCTCTGTCAGGGTCTCCTGGCGCCTCACACTTCTGCTACTCTCGCTTGGGTTTGCCACGTCCAGGAAAAACTTCACGGTTTCGATAAAATCCGTCCTTTATTCATGCCCACTCAGTGTCTCTCCTTTTAGCACCAGGACTTGCCTAAAACAATCTTCCCTTCTCTGGAAGATTGCTAGTTATTTCTGGTTTTGATTTCATGTATGCATTTCTCATTGCTGCTTTCAAGAAGTGCAGGTTTGTTTTTCATTTGGAAATGTGCTCTAAAGAAAAGAGAGAGAGGAGGAGGATGCTTTCTAAAAGGCCTGCAGGCCTTGATTCCGACTCTTCTTTTTTCTGCTGCTGCTCCAGAGTTTCTCAGCAGGGATCCTTACCCCCCCCCCCCCCCCCGCACTAAGCTCACCCCAAGAGGAAAGTAGCACACGGTGTGGTGATCAGTAGCTGGTGCACGCAAACGCTTACAGCTCTTGTCTTAGATTCCGTTAACACCGAGGATTTCTACTGACCTGTTTGTAAAGATTGTGATCATCTAACTAAGCGTCATCGTGGGATGTCTGGCAGAAGCAAACAGCAGTTAGATTATTCCATTACTCTAGGTCATCCTGTTCCGTGAGCCACAGTGCCGTGCTAAGATGCTTGCTGGGGGCTGTGGAAGTGAGCAGGTGCTGAGCTGGCCGCCGCTCATCACCGGCGTTCTCAGGTATCTCAGTCACAATCACTATTTCTTAGAGGAGCACAAACGCTTTGCGTGTTTGGGGAGCTTTCTTTCCAGGTGGCAGAAATAACCTCTGAATGAGACAGACAAAGAAAAGAAAGTCCAAGAGGCCGAGCCTGAGCAGGTGGGTCAGGGGCGCAGGTGGTCAGGGGCGCAGGTGGCCGTGCCCTCCTCTCATGCTCTCCCCCTTGTTTGCCTGCTTTTCTCGACGACTGCTCACGCTCTACATGGTTACCTTTTGGCAGACTGGGGTTACCTTTGCTTATGGTCTGTTGGAAGGCCAGCTTTTTACTCTTACGTCCTCCTGTAATGCTGTTCACTTAGGTCAGGCCTCAGAGCCATTGGTGGTTCCTACTGTTGACTGCCATTACTTATTCTCACAGGTACTTTTGAAGAGTGGCTGGTGGGTGCTTAAAAAGACGTGTGAAGACAGAGCCGAATAGCGGATGTGAGCGAATCGTGGAGTTACTTTCTTTTTGTTTGCTTGATCAATGTATTTCCACAAGATCATTGGTATTTTATTTTTAATTAATTAATTAATTCATTGGTATTTTTGAGGCAGGGTTTCTCTGTGTAACAGCCCTGGGTGTTTTGGATTTCACTTTGTAGGCATTGAACTCAGAGATTCACCACTGGGATTAAAGGCGTGCCACCATGCCTAGCTTGACAGTGTATATTTTATTGGTGATAGCTACCTCTTGCATGGTAGTCGAATGCCCGTATTCCAGATGCTATTTTTGCATATATTAACTTAATTGTGTATTTGTCATTTTTTTCTTAAAGATCTATTATTTGTACTGTGTATATTTTGAGATGTGATAGATTTATTGCTGGATATGTAACAGCTGGTGAAGTGGGGTCTTTTATCATTACCCTTTGACCTCCTTTATTTCTTTGATTCCTTTAAGCTTTTCCTGACATTGCCATGATTACACAGACTTTCTCATAGTTTGCCTGATGTGACCATCTCATCCCACCTTGAGTGTCTTTTTTTAAAATATATAAAGTATTTATTTTCATGCACATATTTACCCACAAAATTTACAGAAAATGAAACAATGCAGAACATATAGACTACCCTCTCAGAGAGGGTAAGCTGTCCACACTCTGCAGCAGTGACGAATGCAGGCTCTGGCTTGAGGCATGGTTCTGAGGGACTGGCGATGACTGAGCCCAGCAGCTACACCAGGACAGCACCAGCGTCACACGTTCCCGCAGCGTAAAATCCAGTCACCTAAAATAAGGACTGTCAGATTCCAGGGTCTTTTTTTTTTTTTTTTTTTTTTTTCTTTCAGCCTGAGTGGATTGAGAGTTTATCCAGTTTTATTTATAAATGACAGTAGAATGTGATGGTTAGAACCAAAACTTTAAGGCCAGATTCGGTGGTTTGGTTTGCTGTCTGCTGTGTAGATTTTGGCAGCTTTCTTGTACCAGTTGGGTGTGGGGAGCATTTTGCCTTTACTTTATGTAGGCCTGTAACCTCTCTCCATATTTCGAGCCCTGCTCTTCACCTAGTTCCTCTGGTGGGAAGGTAGCTGAGATCCATTTCTTATTTTCAACAAAGCTGTTGTTAATCTCGCAGTGTCATAGGACATAGCCACTTCATGCTTCCTTAGCTAATTTCTACTCTACTTTCTGCTTTTGCTTTTTTTTTTTTTTTTTTCCTTTTAACACAGGGTGTCACTTGTAGCTCTGGCTGTCCTGGAATTCACTATGTAGACAAGGCTGGTTTATCACAGATAGCCCGCTCTTGCATGATATTTGATCACACTGTGAACCCCAAAATTGTGTACTGGAAACACCTTTTTCTAGTTGTGCTGTGGCTCAGCCCTAGCGGGCACCCTTTTATCCAAGAGCTTTCTGCAAACAGGATTAAACAAAGTCAGCCATAGGTCAAGAGGCGGGGCAAACAACCAGTTGACAAGGAGTGAGCATAGGAAAAAACCATAGAGAGGAGAGGATGTCCAGAGGACGGATAGAGAGACATACAGAGAATAGAAAGGAAGGACATTCGGCTTGAAGAGTTTTTAAGACCATGTGGAGAAGGAGAAGGGACTTTTTCCTTCTGGGATGCTGGCTGAGTAGGAAGGTGGGCTGGGTGCTTTCTCTGCCTCTCTAAGCTAGTAGGCTTTCCTCCCAGCATCTGGTAGAATTGAGTGTTTCGGATTCCCTGCCACTGCCTCTGCTGGGATCTCAGGCATGTGCCACCACACCTGGATAGCATCTACTTTTGAGCTCTTGAAAATGTATTAAGTATTTCTAAAATGGACACAGTAACTCTGCTTATCTTGTAGGAAAGACTCTTTCAGGGTTGGCATGAATTAGAGGAACAGAACATGACACCTGCCCGGCACAGTAGCAAATAGTCACAATTCTGTTTTCCCATGGACTTTTTTGTACTCTGACAGTTAGTGCTTTGGCCTGATTTGACTCTGTCCACCAATCCACTGTCTTCTCTGTGGGTCACCGTTAATGCTGCCAGACTTAATGTTATAATTTTAGAATTCAGCCTCATAAATGCCTGATTTGTTTTTGCCCAGATGACTTGGCAAAAACACAACTTTGATATCTTTTAGTCCTAATCCTGCCTGTCTAAAGTAGAATTTAATGAGTTTCTAAGTTATTTCTTAGCTGGATCTCTTGAGGCTCTGCTTTACAGTAGAGATGTTTGTCATCAAACTGAGAGCAAATAGCTGTAATTTAATGGTATATACCACAACCTAACCAAAGAGCACTCCTTATGCAGCTGCTTCAGGTGGAGGGGAAAGAGGATGTTCAGCCATTTGCAAATCACCTCCTTGCCGTGTGTGTGTATTTACCATGCCCTTTTACCTGTCATGGTGTGTAGAAGCCAGAGGTCACCTTTGTATGTCTTCCTTTGTTGCTCTCCACCATGTTTTTGAGACAGTGTCTCTCCCTGAGCTGGATCTCACTGTTTTGGCTAGGCTGACTGTGTCCAGTGTGCACTGGGATCCACCTGCCTATGCTTTCGCCAGTACTGGGGATCTATGTGTACTCTACCACACCCAGCTTTCATATGAGTGCTGAGATTCCAAACTCAGGTCCTCATGTTTGAGCAACAAGCATCATCCAGCTCCTAAGAAATCTGAGTCTTAACGGATCTTATGTGAGGAGTGAGCAGAACTGTTAGCATTAACGTGTTGACTTGTGGTTTATTTTTTCAGTTATGTTTCTCACTTATTTTCTAACACGGAATTGTTTTTAACAGGAAGGAAAAGCTGATGCGGTGTTCTCAATGCCGAATTGCCAAATACTGCAGTGCCAAGTGCCAGGTAAGACTATTGAGCTGCTCAGTGAAATTTTCAAACCCTCCACCAGTGCATTTGCTCTCAGTTACACTGTGGTGTAGATTACTCCCGTGCTTTTGTTCTCAGTTATACTGTGGTGTAGACTATTCCCGTTCATTTGTTCTCAGTTACACCGTAGTACAGATTATTCCCTTCATCTTTTTAAAAAACAAAAACAAAACATGATTTTCTTTTTTTTTGCTTGTAATTTTTTCTTTCCGTTTTAAATTTGATATTTGTTCAGTTTGAGTGGACTTTGTCAAAGAAGGAGGGAGAGAGGGAAGGGAAAGAAAGAGGGAGTGAAAGAGAGAGGGAAAAGCAGAGAGAGATGAGAGACGGACATAGTTACACGTGTCCTGCTAGAGCAATAATCAAAGCCAGGTACTCAGTGACCATTTCTACTCCAACACACCACTTAGCTATGAATTCAATGGATTATTTGATTGATGACATCAGTGCCTTCATGATTCAGTCACCTACAGAACCACTGGCCTGGGATCGAGCCCTTACGTTAAATAACCACATAGTTGAGGTACATTTCAGTTTCAAACCATCCCATCATTGTTAAGGTTTTTGTGCTGATATATTTGAAGACCTGTATATGTTTTGGCACAGTTTTTTATGCTTTGATAGTCTTCATTTGTAGAGACTATTTTGTATCACCCAATTATACATATATGTATATGTTAATGTGTGTGTGTGTGTGTGTGTGTGTGTGTGTATATATATATATATATATATATTCATGATCATAATCTCCTCATTAAAGAATGTTTGCATTTTCCTCCAAATTTGGTATTGTTAATAATATAACCTGGGGCTGGAGAGATGGTTCAGTGGTTAACAGCACTGGCTTCTCTTCCAGCAGACCCGAGTTCAATTCCCAGCACTGACATGGCAGCTACTGTCTATAACTCCAGTTCCAGAGCATCAAACACCTTCCCACAGACATACATGCAAGCAAAACACTAATGTACATAAAATAAAAATAATTAAGGAGCATATACCCAACATTATTTTTATATAGTTCTAAAATTAAATTTCCTGGTAAATTTCTAATCATGGTTTTATTTTAATTTTTATTTTTAGTGAAAGCATATATACGTTTTGAATTTTAAATTGCCTTCCTAAAGATTAATTAATTTGTAATGACTGTGGTTGTTAATATCTTTGGAATTCTTTTAAGGATTTATAATTAACATTCAGCATGACCTTTTCTTCAAATCTTTTGATTAATCACTCAATAAGAGTTATAATTATGCTCTAATAAATTATATCATTGGAAAGGTCTAATTGCAACTTTTTTGTCTGTGTTGTCCCACACTCGTTATTCTTTTGGGATGTACTTGTTCTTGCTTGCACGTTTATGTGCGCAAACACTTAGGCGAGTTCCTCTTCGTTTCAATCTAGACCCTTTTCTCGGGGGGTTTCCTGCTCACTATTTCACCTTCGCCTTTGAAATTAGTTTCTTCAGAATGCAAATAAACTGATCCTAACAGAGAAACACTCCATGGACAAAAACATCAGAGGATCCAAGTTTCATTTGTCACCTCTCCCACTCTCTAGTTAAATTATTTCATAGGAAATGGAAGGTCAGGCCTCAGTTTCTGAATCGGCGCTATGAGAGCTAGTGTTTGATAGGCATCTGCTGCGTGCTAGGCACTGTTTTATTCCATTTAACTTCATAAGAATCCTGTGAAAATTAGCCACGGTTGTATGTCCATTTTATCAGTAAGGAAACGGCACAGAATGGTAAGTAAATTGTTACGTATCTCATAATTGATACACTCTGGATTTTTTGCAATAAATGGAAATATTAATAGCATGTGTCCAGATTTTATACTTACTTTCTAAATGTAAATTTTACTCTTCCTGTAACATTCTGATTACAACTGCTTTTCAATTATCGATTGTATTTGTTCTTTTCTTCTTGGCTACTTATTTTCACTCTGACACTTGGTATATGCCCAGAAAGATTTTTATTCCCTAGATCCCTCCGCCTATTTTATATTGTTTTCAAAAGACACAAAAGGAAACATTTTAAAATAGAAATCAAGAGCTGAGAGATGGTTCAGTAAAGAGTGACCTGGGCAAGCTTGAGGACCTGGGTTCAGATCGTCAGCTATGGCAGTATGCGTTTGTCACCTGAAACTTTGTGGGAATGGAGACAAGCTTGGGAGTGCAGACAGGCAGATCTCTGGTGCTCACTGGCCGGCCAGCCTAGTCGGAATCCATCAACTTTATGATCAGGGAGGGGCTGTGTCTCCAAAATACAGGTAGAGTGCAGTCACGGAAAGGCAGTCTGTTTCAACGTTGGCGCTCTACACATAGGTACATATACATTCATGCATATCATCACACCCAGGCACATACCACACATGTGAACAGTATAACGGGGCGGGGGGGGGGGAAGAAAACAGATGCCTTTCCGCACAAGATGAAACATGGGAAATCTATTTTATAATGATGTTTCAGCCCACCCTACCCCCAGTGAAATGGGGTTCCATGTGTTCCCAAATGTCTGGCCAGGTGGAGTGTGTATAGAAATGATGAATTAACATACTGTTTGACCCACATCTTTTGGAAACTTCATTTCTAATCTCGATGGCCTAAGCCTTTATTTTTCTTTCCCTCCATTTTTACAAATACATTTTCTCCGAGGCTACTTCCTCCAGTTGTAATAATACACAGAGAGAAGAAAAAGCCATTATCTGATTAGAACAAGGAGGGGGAGTTTGGCAAGTGGGGATGCCAGTTTGATTCATTGTAGTGTATATATTTTATTACACATATTAGTTATTCACTGTAGCATCAATAACATTGTCATTGTTAGATATAATGTCCAAGGTAATGGAAAATAGCCAGTAAGATGAAATATGTGATGCCAGCTAGAATATATGTTTGTGTGAGTATGTGTGTGGGTGTAGAGGTGGGAGTCAAACACTGGCCAGAACATATGCATTTAAACTGCTCTAGTTATCTGCACCTTGAGGTACAGAGCTAAATGCTGTAATTATTGTGGATACCCACAAAGATGCACAGAATTAAACTGACAAACTGAACTATGAGAACGATGAACAGTAATGAACAGAAAGTAAAAGCAGCTGGAATGGAAATTGATGTAGAGGTTGTGACTTTAGCAGAAAAATATGTTTGTCTCAGATAAAAATACGTTTAGCTCCTTTGCTGGGCCTTTATGTGAGTCTATGGTAATAATGGGTTGTTTGAGAAGGATTTGGGGATATTTTTAAGGGTTCAATATATTCTTTCTGATCAAAGGATGCTGTCATTGCCATCAGCATTCACATTTTATTTTTAAACATAAGCAACACAAAAACATATCTTCATTATAAAAATTAAGATAATATAGAATCAAACAGGCTTAAAATAACGGACATTTTCTTTGGTGACCTTGAGCTCCTACCTGTGTCTTATTGTGGGACATCCATCGCATTATTTCCTGGTGTGGGAACCCATTTCCATATTGGTATCCATCGCATTGTTTTCTAATATGGGAACTGGTCTCCAAACTGGCATTTATCACATTATTTCCTAGGGTGGGAATCCGTCTCCATATTGTCATAATGGGGCATCACAGATGATTCTGGGACTGAAAAGGAGCAACTGGCTCTCTTCTTATTAAGAAATGTTCAAAATGTAAAAACTGACAGCTAGCAAGTAGGCCAGTTTCTTTTTTATGATTTATTTATTTTTATCTGCATTGGTGTTTTGCCTGCACATATGTCTGTGTGAGAGTGTCAGATCCCCTGGAACTGGAGTTACAGAAAGTTGTGAGCTGCCATGTGGGTGCTGGGAATTGAACCTGGGTCTTCGGAATAGCTGCCAGTAGTGCTCTTAACCTCTGAGCCATCTCTACAGCCTCAAGTAAACCAATTTCAAGCAAATTCATGAAATATTATTTTGCCTTTTATGGATTTAGTTTGACTTGTGATAGTTACATTTCTTTTTTATTATTATCATTTATTATAACTTATTCAGTTTGTATCCCGGCTGTGGTCCCCTGCCTTGTCTCCTCCCAATCCTACTCTCCCTCCCTCTTCTCCCTCTATGCCCCTCCCCTTGTACACTTATAGGGGAGGTCCTCCTCCCCTTCTATTTTACCCTAGCCTATCAGGTCTCATCAGGACTGGTTGAATTGTTTTCCTCTGTGGCCTAGCAAGGCTTCACCCCCCCCCCCCCAGGGGGAGGTGATCAGAGAGCCTGCCACTGAGTTTATGCCCCAGGAACCCCCCCCTTCCCCTTAATAGGAACCCCACTTGGAGACGGAGTCTACATCTGAGCAGGGGTTTTAGGTCCTCTCCATACTTTGTCATTGGCTGGGGTATCATTCTCTTCAGGGCCCCCAGGGCTCAGTTTTTATGGCTCAGTTGGTCTCCTTTTGGAGCTCCTGTCTTCTCCAGGTCTTTCTATCTGATATTTACATTTCTAATTCAACTCATTGTTAAATAAATCATGTGACCAGATTCTAGATCAAATCTTAGATTAGGATCTTTTGAAAAGCACTGTGTTTGCAAAGAGAGGTTTCATAGTAGCAATTAAATATCTCTTTACACACATGAATCATATTTTTGGGTCTGCATTTCATGTCTATTTGTTAAATGATTTGATTAGTTTTTATGATGGAAAACAAATCCTATGTCAGTATTTCACAGGGTGATTTTTATCAGTTTTTCCTACAACATACTCTAAGGTGGGTGCTGAGGAAAGCTGAGCCTTTATTTCAGGAGTAGCTGTGTTTTAGACCTCAGACTGATAGGATTTGCAGAGTTTTATTTTTAACCCATCCTGACAATCTCTCTTCTAATTCATGCATCAAGACCATTGTTATTCAGAATGATTTTCGTTATATTGTATTGAGATCTATCATATCTGTTTCTTGTTCTTTTTCTGCTTTTTCTTTCATTTTTTTTTCTGCCTTTTGTAGGTCTCTAGTTAAATATTTTATTCAGAACTATTCCATTTTCTCTTCTTCCCTTTGCCTTTTAGTTTTTTTGAGATAGGCTTTTACTATGTAGCCCACACTGGTTTCAAATTCATGTATCTCAAGATAGCTTAACTCTAAGATCTGCCTGCAGTAGCCTTCTGAGTACTTGGGTTACAAGTGTATGTCACCATGTCCTCTATTTAGGGAAAACAGTTTAAGAACAGGACCAAATGGACTGTAGCAGTGGTCTGGACAGTATTAGCATCATATTTAAACTGGACTTTTCATCTCAGCTCTCCAGTGCTTACTTTAAAATCGTGTCAGCAACAGGGAGATATTTTTAGATTCTTCAATAATATGTGCTTTTGGTTACCTACCACCTCCACCACCAACTTCATCACCACCTCCACCACCACAACCTCCACCTCCACCACCACCACCTCCACCACCTCCAACTCCACCACCACAACCACAACCTCCACCTCCACCACCACCACCTCCACCACCTCCACCACCACAACCTCCACCTCCACCTCCACCACCACCACCTCCACCACCTCCACCTCCACCACCTCCACCACCTCCACCACCACAACCTCCACTTCCACCACCACCACCTCCACCACCTCCACCACCACAACCACCACCTCCACCACCTCCACCACCACAACCTCCACCACCACCACCACCACAACCAGATTAATTCAATGTTTAAAGACATTAGCAATGTAGTTTCTTGTCAGAATAAAGGACTGTGAGACCTACTCTCTTGACCTACTCTCATTGGAAGACCAGATGGAAGTTAGGGCCTTACCACATCTTAGTCAATGTAGAGCAGCCCATGTCCCTAAGGATGGCAGTGACAACCATGGATGCTGTGTTACATAATTTGTACAAATTTGTTTGATTCATTAGAACATTCAGTAGGTGAATATATTTTGCTCAGCGAGGTATATATATATATATATATATATATATATATATATATATATATATGTATGTATTTTTTTTTTCAGAATTATTTGACCGTGAATCAGTGTACTTTTCACACACCTTGTACATCTTAGTAATTTATTTGACTGCTGCTAGTTCAGTACTTGTTAGGCTTTTTGGTGCTGCTGAGTTAGACTTTAATCTTGTACCTTCAGGCAAGTACTGGGGTTAATGTAGCTGCCCAAAAGGCCAGTATAGTTGTAAATATAAGTGTTGTCAAAGACACTGTCTGGTATGATGTCAGCCTTCTTGGAATACATTCTCCTGTGATTTAATATTTAGTAACATATGTCTCCCTTCCTACCAGATGAGAATTATGGAAGTCGTTATGCTCTGTTTCCGCCTTGCTTATAAAGCAACTTAAATAAATGTACAAACATGGCAGTCACTTAGTGTTTGTGTTGAGCATGCCAAGGCTTTCACCACCCTTGTTTATATTTGGGGAGTTTGTTCCTAAATCCCAGACCACGAGCTCTACTTTCTCTAATATTAGGATGGTATCCTGTATCTGGATCATAGAGGAAATGAAATGAAACGTCTTTTGTTACTTTTTAGGTATGCGTCTAGGACATTCTAGAATGATAAGTGGATACCAGAGGACTTTTCTGAACTCTACCATTTCTTAGCATTTTCTGTTTCTGCTGTTACAGCCCATTTCTTTTTCTCCCCGAGACAGGGTTTCTCTTTGGAGCTCTGGCCATTCTGGAGCTCAGTCTGTAGACCAGGCTGCATTCAAACTCACACAGAGTTCTGGGATTAAAGGCGTGAACCACCACTAGCGTTCACAACCTATTTCTTACACAACTTTCATTTTCTTCTTTAAAAATATGGGGCCTCATGCAACACAAGTTGACTTGAACTCATGGATTCAAGGAGGGCCTTGACTTCCTCATCTTCCTCTTGAGTGCCTGGATTACCGCCATGCTTGGCTCTCTCTTCTTTTTGGTGGCATTAGGGCTGGGCTGGGTCTCGATGCATTCTGTCATAGAGCTACATGCCAGCTCTTCTCCTTCCTATTAACACAAGACCAGGGTAGTCCTGCTGAGCTGTGAGTGAGGTATAAATACGGGAAGGAAGGAATACAAAGGGCATTAAGCAGGGCCATCATAGTCAAAGGGAGCAACTAGGAGAGGAGTTGACAGCGGAAGTGATGAACTTGTAAACAGTGTTTCCCAAACCTAGGGGCCAGAGCAGACTGACACAGGAAGTCTTTTGTAGCGAAAGGCTCACTAGAACACAACACGATCAGAGGTATAATTTCTATGAAGTAAGGATGTGTGGGGCGTGTCAGTCTGGTGGCTCTAGCCGTTGCCCCCTCCTCAGGGATGGTTCCCTTCTCTTTAATAAGTCCGCTCACGTCCAGCGGTGTGACCAGCTCACTGCTCTCTCCAACCGCGGCATGAATTTGCTGATCACAAGATTTATCTCCCGAACTACACACTTTTTATGACAAGGGCCCTATGGTAATTAAGCCAGGACCTCGTATGACCTGGTAGAGGCGTGAACAAACTGGAGATTTATGGGTTAGCTGCTTTCTGTGATGTAGTCCTTATGGTTTTGCATCTATTCGTTCACCTGTTCTGTCCGACTATTTACAGTGAGGCGGAAACTCAGAATGCCGGCTTCCTTGTTTTGATTTCCCTTAGCCACATGATTTATTTCTCTAGCTTCGAGTGACATTTTCTTTAAAATACTGTCATGTCATGACTAGACATTAAGCCTAAGTATTAAGAAAGGCCCACTGGTTCTTACTGTGGAATCTCCCAGCCTGGTAATGATCAGAGGGCAAATTAAAGGGCAAGGTGAAGCTGAGGTGTTGGTGTAGGTGATTACCTACTCAGCAAAGACTAAATCCTTGATCATTTGCAATATTACAAAGTGAATTTTGTATTTCACAGTTCTGTTTAAGCTGTTGAAATTAAATTAAATTAATGACGTTGATGATTCTCAGTGCTCAAAACTGAGTTGAATGAGCGTTGACTTTTGTCTCTGATGTCCTTCCTTGTTCTTGTCTTCACAGAAAAAAGGTTGGCCAGACCACAAGCGAGAATGCAAATGTCTTAAAAGCTGCAAGCCCAAATATCCGCCTGACTCTGTGAGACTTCTGGGCAGGGCTGTTGTCAAACTTGTGAGTACACAATCATGAAAGGAGCCTGGGTTTAATTTGACAAATCAATTGCTGTTCCTCTTCTTATTTAAAGTTGGGACTGAATTTATGGTGAGGTGGATGGTGGATTACCCCACGCAGTGTGTTAGGATAAGAAGCTCATGTTCCCGTTAGTCATTGACTTGATGGCAGTGTTGGGGCACACTCCTATCTATGGAGATACTGTAATCTCTTTCTTGAGGGGAGTCTTGAGGTACTTGCTGTGTTTTCTTTGTAACCTTTTTCTGTGAATATGCTGCATGTATCAGCCTTTATTGTCTTTTCCAGTGAGGACTTAATTAAATAATAATAATACATTAAACTGACATTCTTTTTTTTTTTTTTTTTTTCTTTTATAGAACTAGGATTTATTATTTCTGCACTCCTTTCCCTATAGTACAACAGCCTGGAGCCTTGTTCTTAAGAAGCTTCCAGACTGTTCCATTAGAGCTGTAGCATGACTGTCTCGATTATTGCAGGGTCTAATTTGGTTCCTTCACTTGGTCATTGACTTTTGATTTTTATTTTCCTTTTCTGAACTTTTATAGAGGCTTTTGAGACTGTGAAAGTGTGGGAACTCCGTGTTTTGGAGTTTTTATTTGGAGATAAAACTGCTTAGGTGAAGTTGCAAGTTAGATTTTAAAGTTGTTACTAAGTAATTTTTAAAAGGTTTTGAAGAGGTCTGGAGACAGGACTCCGGTGTAGAGAACTGAATTCTTAAGTTGCCCTCTGACCTACACTCCACATATACACAGACATGCACACACACATACACACACGTTTTTAAAAGTTCTGAATAGAAATAATATAGAAATGATCCTTTAAAAACTGTCCCTGAAGCTGGGCGTGGTGGCGCACTTCTTTAATCCCAACGCTCCTGAGATGGAAGCAGGTGGCTCGCTGAGCGTTCCAGGCTAGCCTGGTCTACAGAGTAATTTCCAGGCCAGCCTGGTCTACATAGTGGTGTAACTGTAGTGACGTCTCAAAACAAGCAAATGAAAAAATTTCATTAAAATATCCAAGTGTAGTCAAGAATAATTGTATATTGGAACACTTACCTTGTTTTTTCCTTTCCCTTCACAGATGGATGAAAAACCCTCAGAATCGGAGAGGCTTTACTCGTTTTATGATCTGGAGTCCAGTAAGTGATTATTCATTAGTATCTTGAAGTTAAATCTATCATTTATCTGCTGAACTCCCCCTCCCTTTTTTTTTTTTTCCTTTCAGTTTGCTAGAGGTTCAGTCTAGGGCAGGAGTTCTCAACCTATGGGTTGTGACCATCAGAAACACACGTTTCCAATGGTCTTAGGAACAGAGACACAACTCAGTAGCAAAATTCCAGTTATGAAAAAGCAATGAAAATAATTTTACGGTTGGGAGGTCACCACAACATGAGGAGAAAGGTTGCAGCGTTAGGAGGGTTGAGAACCACTGGTCTTACCCGTAGCCACTGAGTTGCTTTTAATAACAACTTTGCTTTTCTGTGTTTACTACATGAAACAACCCTAAAGAGACTTTTTATTTTTATAGACAATAACACCCAAGTTTGTCTAGTTGATTCTGGGGTAGATTGGGCCATAGGAAAGTTTGTGAAAATCTGCAGTAGGCAGAATAGTGTAATTGTTTAAGCGGACCTGTCTTCATAGGGAAATGGTGGTGGAGGTTGGCACTGCCAAGAATTATTAAATATGGTATAAAATTAAGTGGACCTGTCTTCATAGGGAAACGGTGGTGGAGGTTGGCACTATCAAGAATTATTAAATATGGTATAAAATCAGTTTTGTGAGTTTTCTCATGTTTACATTGTAAGCACAGAACAGTTTTCCCCCCTCCACTATTAAGTGAAGCTCTTCAGTGAAAGCAGGAAGTTCAGACCTTTAATGACAGCAGATGAGCCCTTCCCTTATTCTTGGAAGCCTCCTTCTCTGGAACCTGGTTGGATTGTGTTTGTCCAAGTGAGGCTTGTTTTCGCATTTAGTGATGGCTTTGAGAGTGCTCCAGCTTCAAGGAGGTCAGGAAGTCCTGCCCTGGTAACAGTCACTCCAGACACCCTGCACTCGCTCGAGAAGGCAGTATCATCCTGAGCCAAGCCTTGGTGAACTTTAGACCCTGCAGCTTTTCTCATTCAAGATGGGGGTGGGAACTCCACTTCGAGAAATCAGAAAGAAGGTGTTTGGTTAATTAAGTCAAAAACTGTTCTTTGATTGGTACAACTGCAACCCTTTATTTGCATACCGTCCTTCCTCTGTTTCTGGCATTATCATCGGCAGGCTGGTCAGTCTGAAGACTCCTTCCTGTGCTGACTCCGGTGTTTTAACGTTTAGCCCAGTGAAAAGCTTCTCTTAATAGACTCCTCTTGCCTGCCTGTGATCTGGGGTGGTACTGGAATAGCATCTGTGACAGGCTAGCTGAAGAGTCAGGGCTCAAGGCTAGAGAGTAAAAGCTGTGTAAGTGTTGAAGAAGCGAGCTTCAGAAGGCAGTGGGCAAGAGACGAGGGGCCTTGGTCAACTGGAAGAGTTCCCTGGAGTTGCCTCACCTTAAAGAGAGAAGGCTCCTGCATCTAAGTGCTACAACGCCCCTGCTGGGTTCCGACACCCACGGCTCAAGAGCTGTCGTAGTCGGCTGGTGCTGACTGCTGCTGGCTGAGGTTGCTTAGAGCAAGGATTTTACTGGGGTCGATTTGGTAGCACTGGAGTCAGGGCTGTATTCCGTGTTGTGAACCCAGCATGGTAAATCTTGAGCTTCTAAGGTCCGGAGTCACACACCTGTACTTCTTCAGATTTGAAGCTATAGGCTTTGAATCTGTTAATCGAACCCACAGTCCTTTGCCATATGAGGGAGCACTCATGATTCCTCATGAGCAGAACTGAGGGATCTCAGTCCATAACATAGCTGTTAGTATGACTGACCCTTTGTCCTCTGTTTCTTCCTCCCTTCCCCCTTCTCTCCTTTCCTGGTGTCTTTTCCACGTTAGCGAAGAGTGCTGTAGTGAACAGTGGCAATCGAGGGACTCCCCTAGTGTCGCCGTTCCTGTAGATACCAAGGCAAGCTGCAGGTTTGGAAGACAGGCTCTGCGACGGTAGCGAGCATTGTTCTTTCCCTGAGCTACCATGGCGGTTGCCTGCTACCGTGGACACCTCAAGGCTCCCTGGATTTGGGCTCAGGCACAGTCAGGTTGATTGTGCTTTTGTGCGGTCACAAGCCCTCTTCTCAGGGGTTGTAAGTGGTCCCAGTCTCAAACCAGCCAGAGCTCGTAGACTACAGTCATTACACAGTTTGCCACTTCTGGTTGGAGATGATTGAGAAGATGACCTAGATTTATAGTTCCAGGACCCTAGGTGCCAATGGTGAGAAATTGTCATCTAAGGAATCATGGGTCCATTATTCTCTTGGGCAAATAATTTGAAGAGAATGCGCAAACCGGATATGAGGAAGAGTGTTAGTTCAATTTGGGGTGTCTTTTCAAGTTTTAATAGAGAACTAATTAGTCATTTTTCTTTGCAGTACTGCTAGATAATTAACACCACTTATGGTGAGTTTGACTGTTAACACCAGCCCTGTGCAGTACATTGCCCTTGGTGAGATGCTCTCAAGTGTCATTAGTCTGATGACACACTATAAGCCTCAATATGCCATTTGTAGTATAATTTAAACTGATGAGGTTGTATTAGCTTTAGAAAAATGTCTATTGTGTGTATATATTTTTTAGAAAATACAATTGAAATATAAAGTATCTACACAAATTTATGGGGTCTAGTACATGTAAACAGAATAGATAGCAATAAAAGTCAGGATAATTAACATTTCCAAATGTATCGTTTGTCTGTATTAGGAACCATTTGAAAGCTGAAATATTTTATTGGAGATGACTCAGCAAAAGTATACAATTAGTAATGGTAATGTCAGAATGACAGGTGTTTTTCTGTCAGAAATTTGTCATGTGTTTTGTGTTGGGAACCTTTTGACTATTTTTATCTCCTAAGGACTTAAATCCGTATTCCGTGGAATAGCAGTACTGATTCCACCCAGCTAATGGTGTTTTGGTGTCCATTGTCCTGTTCTTCTCTGTCCTGCCTCACATTCCATGACCACTATATATTTTTTAATGGGATCATCTGTCCTCGTCAACTTTCACTGTTAACTTGATCCAGCCTAGAGTCACCTGAGAGGAGAAGCCTCACGTGAGAATTGCTTAGACCCGGTTGCTGTGTGGACATGCCTGTGAGGGATTGTCTCTATCCTTGGTTCATATCGGAGTGCCCAGCCCATTGCTCTAGCAAGTGGTCCTGGGCTGTATAAAAGAACGAGTTAAGCATGAGCCTGTGAGTGAAGCAGAGTGAGCCAGCAAGTAGTGTTCACCCATGCTTTCTGCTTAGAGTCAGGCCTTCAGTTTCCGCCCTGACTTCCCTCGGTGGCTGACCTGGAGTATGGACCAGATAAACCATTTCTTCCCGAGGTTTTTTTTTTTTTTTTTTTTTTTTGTTTGTTTTTGTTTTTTTGGTTGTTTGCTTTTTGTCAGTTTTTATCACAGCAACAGAAAGGAAACTAGAAAACCATTTAAAGCTTCCTACAGTGAGTGATGTGTGATTTTTGTCTTTCTGTGCTTGGCTTATTCATTTAATATTCTGTTCACTAATTTTGTCCCAGAGATGAAAAAAAAAATAGCCTTGCACTATTTTGTTTTAACACCTAGGCAGTACTTTGGTGCATGTATGTACCATATTCTCTCTATCTGTTCATCCCCCGATTCCCTGTTCCCAGCAATGTACATAGTGCTGCAGTCAGTAGTGACTGGCTCAGCCTGTGCCACAGCACTGTTTGGTACATGACTGCACAACATTGTATCGGAGTACCTGTTTCTCTGCGTCTTTGCCAGAATTTCTTATTTTATGCTTTCATATAATAACTGTTCTAACTGGAGCGAGATGATATTTCGTTGTTTTAGTTCAGATTTTCGACAATCAGTACTGTGGAGTATTTTGTCATGTGTAAGTCCGTCATTTGTTTCTCTCTTTCTCTCTCTTTTCTCTTTTGAGAATATCTGTCTAGAGCATGCATTTTTCTATAAATAGGGTCTTCATCATTATTTCATTTCATTATTTCTATTGAGTTCCTTATATGGCCTCAATTGTCGTCCCTTGTGATACACTGCTTGCAGGTTTTTGTTTGTTTGTTTTTGTTATGTAGGCAGTCTCTTTGCTGTACCAGTTACAGTATTTGTGCAGATATTTTTGTTGTTGTTGTTTGATTGGCTCTTATTTTCTTAAAGATTTATTTATTTACTATGTATCTAATGTTCTATCTGCATGTATGCCTGCAGGCCAGAAGAAGGCACCAGATCTCATTATAGATCATTGGGAGCTACCATGTGGTTTCTGGGAATTGAACTCAGGACTCCTGGAAGAGCAACCAGTACTCTTAACCTTGGAGCCATTTCTCTAGACTTTGGCTCTTATTTTCTAAGTTCTCTTTCTCTTGATGTTATGTCAGGGTCATATCCAAAAACTTTGTGCTCAGGTCCATGTCCTAAACCTTTTATTTTTTTCCCTTAATGGTTTTATGGTTTGGATCTTATATTTATGTTTTTGATAATTTGATATTGCTGTTGAGTATGAAGAGAAACAGGATTCTGGTTTCGTTCTTTTGCATGTGCATATCTACCTTCCTGGAATAACTTATTGAAGGTACTGTCTTTCCCTCTAAGGTATTTGTAGCACCTTTGTTGAGAATCATTTTGTCGTGTGGACATCAATTCATTTCTGGCTTCTCTGATCTGGCTCAGAGGTGGGTGTGTCTGAGGGATGATAGATAGATGTTTGTCACATCAGACATGGTCATGTGTCTACCTTTTCTGTCCAGGATTGCTTTGGCTTTCTGCTGATTTCTCCTGTCTCTGTGAAGGACGTCATTGCTAATCTATAGGAAGTGCATTGAGTCCCTGCATCACTTGCGGTGGTGTGGGCGTCTTCACAAAGTTGATTGTTCTAACTCACGGCCATGGGTTGTTTTCTTTAATGTTTAATTGCCTTCCTCCCTCCCTCCCTGCCTTCCTCCCTCCCTTCCTCCCTGCCTTTCTCCCTCCCTTCTTCCCTCTTCTCCTCCCTCCTTCCTTCCCTCCCTCACTGCCTGCCTTCCTCCCTCCCTGCCTTCCTCCTTCCCTCCCTCCCTGCCTGCCTCCCTCCCTCCCTTCCTTCCATATTCTCTTCAGTGTCTTCCATCAGAATTTTGTAAGTGTAGAGACCTTTGACTTTTTTGGTTAAAATTTTTCCTATATGTTGCATTTTGGACTCACAATTGTGAACTCCCATTGTTCTGTTTCATTTGCCATCAAGTTTGCTATGAATGTATAAAAAAGTCTTAGCAATTTTGATGCCAGTTTTGTACCCTGAAGCATTACAGAATCATTGCATGAGCTTTAGCTCTTTTCTCGTGTCTGGAATCTTTCTCTTTAAACGCAGACACACAGAGAAGAAGCACAGTTCCCACGAGGCCTGCCTGTGTTTGTCAAACCTGGAAACAGCTCAAGGTTGATAATCTCTTTAGGTCATCCACGTTTTTGTTATGATTCACATCTTGTCTGACAAATTTCACTTGTTTAAACTTCATATGAACTTTCAATATCTAATTTTCTGTCTTTTTAACCTTTCAGATAATAGTGTTTATCAGTCAGTTGTGACCTACTTGTGAATTATTATGGGGAAAAGTCAGTTTAAATTCACGGACATAATTAGGATTTATGATGGTACAGTTGTGCTCAGTAATATAAAAGAGCTGGCAATGTGCAGCTGATTTTGGTTTATTGTATTTTTTAAACCTGTATGTGCACTTGTTTATTTTTTGATAGCTGTTTGATATATTTTGTGGATTAAGTTGGACAGAATGTAACCAATATAACATGTATCATGATTTGTAGTTGTCAAAAGAATAAAAGATTCTCAGGATAATTGTATGTCTGGAAATCTTTTTAATAGCCAGCATTTGAATACCTGAAAATTATCCATGTTGTTCACTTGGTGATTGTACTATTTATTTTCTTTACAAAAAAGATATTAACAAACTTACTGAAGATAAGAAAGAAGGTCTGAGGCAACTTGCAATGACATTTCAACATTTCATGAGAGAAGAAATACAGGATGCTTCTCAGCTGCCGCCTGCTTTTGACCTTTTTGAAGCCTTTGCAAAAGTAAGTTTGAAGTTTCATCTCTTTCCTAATACTGGAAGTCAACCATTTATGCTTTATTTTCTTGTCATTTGCAAACATGTCTCCGGCCTTGATGGGATATTGAAGACTGTTAATGCCATGTATCACTCCCTATCTAAATAAACAGGGAATGAAAGAGTTCGGGATTGTTTGTACTGAAAAGGATGTGACTTTTCTGTTCTATCAGCATTTTCATGTGGAGATTATTTGGTTGCTAATATTGCAAACATCCCTTCAGAAGAACATAGCATATATTTCATTACTTTCTGCTGACAGATCTTACTTTATTATTGGCTTTATTTATTTATTTTTTTATGTTGGTAGTTTTAGCCAACTGAAACAATCTATTGGAATCTTTTCTGATTAGTTGACTTTTAAATAACGTGAGAGCATATTGGTTTCTGACTTAAAATAATTTAAAGATCAGACTAGTGAAATCCTAGGGTAGGGATGGAAAACAGATTTATTTAGTGTTTCATCTGAGGTCTGTTAGTGGGAGTTGCATGAAGTGTTCTGTTTGAAAACGAAGTGTTTTGTTCTGCAAGTTTTCTTTGGCCCAGGCAGCGGAGATACAGTGGTGAGGGATGGCGCATGTGCGGCATGCCCGTGCTGGTCTGGATCTCTGGTCTTGGTCCATTTGTTTTCTGTGTTCATCACGTTTTACAGTGGAGGATGAGTTTGCCACTTACCTTGAAATTTTTAAAAAACGTGTTTTATAGAATGCCATGATTATTTTAAGGTGTGCTTTCAAAACTTCCTATTTTGTAAGAATTTAAATGTGATTATTTTGAGTGCTAGAGATTTATTCTATTTTTTTTCCCACCAAAGTTAGTTTTATTCTTTATTCTATGGTTTTCTGATAATATGATCTCAGCATTATATCCTGGTTTGTCTATAGTTTAAAATTGGTTGGAAATATAGTGGCCGCTCTGCCTGTTCATTCCGTATGTTCTTGAAAGCGTACAGCCTCTCGCAGGTGTGTACAGACAGTGAAGAGCAGCGTTTGTCTTGCAATGGCTGTTTTGTCGGGGCTCATGTTAATAATGTGACTGTTCTTTTGGTGTCATTTCTGTTGTTGAAAAATCTTTCATAACGTGTAATTGCGATTAATAGTCATGTAAAATGCCTTAAAATATTGCTAAATCTAAAACATGAGTTGATGCTTTATTTCTGTTGTTTATTGAGACAGGATCCCTTTGTATAGTCTTGGCTGACCTGGAACTTGTTCTGTTGACCAGGCTAGCCTTGAACATACAGAGATCCACTTTCCTCTACCTCCTGAGTCCTGGGGTTAAAGGTGTGGGGGATCATTGCTGAGCTTGTTAAACATTTTTAATGACATTTATTTCATGAAACTCTTTGCATGTTGTATTTGAGGAACATCCCGGCATTGTGGGGAAAGGTAACTTTCTTGGACACACTTTCAATCGTAAGCTACCCTCTTTCCCATATGCTGTAGTTGTGCTTGCTGTAAGAGTGGAACACTTAGGACTGGGGGGCTTAGGTGGGAAAGTGCTGAGCACACAAGCAGAGGCTGCTGACTTCCAGCCCCAGCACCATGGCTGTGGGGGTGCGTGCTTGTAATCCCAGTGCATAAGACTCGGTGACAAGTGGGTCCCTGGGGCTGGCTGGCCCGCCAACACTGTCCAGTCAGGAAGTCCCAGGTCTCAGTGAAAGAGTTTGTCTCAGAAAAGCAAGGAGCGACAGAAGAATCCATACCTGGCAATGCACACACATGTGCGCACACAGAGGGAAACATATATAGCATTGAGACGTTGGAGACTAACTGGGCTCAAGATATGTAGGTTTTGTCTTAAAATGTGCTTTAGTAAAAGTCAGAGGAAAGCAGATAATTAACTCGGGGCTTCTCTGCTTTTGCAGAAGGGTCGTTAGTTAATATTTTGCCATGTGTGGTTATTGTCCGCTTATACATTCGTCTGTAGAAAAGATCACTCTCTTGCTTTTCCTTTCTCAGGAAAATGATCTTAGTCCAGCTAACGTAGGGTCTTGCAAACCTCAGAGAGGAGCTCCTCAGCCCAAAGTGCTGCATGCGTAGGAGTGCGCGTGCCACTTCCAGCACTCACTCTGGACATGGGTGGAGAACCTTTCTCTACTCCCCCACCCTGTGCCCATTGTATTATCATCATACAGTCAGCGGGGGAGGAAGGGGGTGTCCCACGGTGTGTGCCCTTCGGCAGGCTGCTTCTGTTCCCCACCCGCAAGCCACCAATGTAAGGGACTTCCATGTGCATTTGTCCTCCGTGGTCTTTGAGACAGTGCTTTTCCTGGCCGTAATAAAAAGAGCAGGTTCTGGCTTGTTTTGCTCTTTCTGTTCTTTTTCTCTATTCATTTATGTTATATGTCACCATTAGACTCGCTTTTGTTTCAGCCTCGGTCTTTGTCACCAAAGGCTCACAGAATATTTGGTAGGAGTTAATCGTGTCTTTTTTCAAGCCGGGCACAGTGGAGGACACAGTGGCTGATCCCTCGGAGCCTCCTCTTCTGGATGCTCTTGTTGAACTGTCTGGAGTTTCTGGAGGAATAATGAATGGCTCTCCCTCGTTACACAAGTTCTTAGAATGCGGCATGTGTCTGCTTCTAAAATCTTAGTTTTTGCCCAGCAAAATTTCTCTCTGAGACCTTACCGTGTGGCTACTGTGTGGGTTGCAGTCTGAAGGCTTCTTGCCTTTTACTCGCTTCTTAGCACAGCACCTCCAGGTAAGCACACATGTGAACAAGTGGATCCTAGGAGTTTCCCCTGATGAATCTGTGGGTCAGGTATGAAGTTGGGTACCACGAGATATATGGGAATGGGTTCTTTTTCCCCATGCAGATGTCAGGGAGGGCCCTCCCATGGAAATAGAAATGCACCTGAGTTTGAGATGAGAAGAGGTGCTGGCCGTTTGTCCACGGTGGTCTTGAAAGCCTGGTGGGGAGTGGTGCTGATTGGCTACCCCAGGGGCTGAAGAAAACACCGGCCCCCAGGGGAGAAGACTGGGAAGGGCAGTCTGTAGAAGACGGGCTCAGTTGTGTGTTACTTCCCGTCAGTTGGCACGAAACTTGCGAGTTTACTGTTTGATGTTGACCGCCACTGGGCCTTCAGAATTCCCCCACAGGAAGAACCGACGCCGTGAGCTCCAGTGGAGGGTGGAGAGGCTGGAGACACCGTGAAAACCTTGAACTGTGTGGCAGTTGTTTCTTTTTAAACTTGAGTTTGTTAAGTTATGTTAAGTATGTGTTCTCCGGGCTGTCACACCGTGACAGCTGAGGAATGGCGAGGTGGTGACTGCCTTTCACAGTGATAGAGGCAGCTGAAGGCAGGAGGTGGCTGGGATGCCAGTGAGAGCGGTGGAGAGGTGGTTCACCTGCTCATCCCAGAAAAGGTCTGGCTCTCCTGTTCGTCTCCCTGCAGCCCTCCCCTTCTTCCCACACCACACATTTGCCCTTATCCCTTCATTTTCTCATGAAGTTTCTAGTTTGGTTTTGAGGTGGATTCTTCTCGGAAGGACAGCTGCTCTAATAGAGTCCTCAGTCTGAGCCCTAAACATCTGCTCCAAATGCGGAAAAGACTAACAGTCATCAACTTACAAGATAAGAAAAGTCCAACCAGTGAGAGGACAGATTCCTTTACGTAGTAAACATGGTTTTCATTTTATTACCTCATGTGTATGGGTCACACCGTCCAGTGCACCACATGTGGGCTGTGCCCACGCAGGCCAGAAGACAGTGTTGGATCCCTTGGAACTGGAGTTACACGCAGTTGTGAACTGCCACGTGGGTGCTGGGAATTGAACGTGGGTCCCCTGGAAGAGCAGCCAGTTCTCTTAACTGCCGAGCTGTCTCTGCAGCCCGAGAGGGCAGGTTTAGATGGAGACCCTGTGCTTTGACAGCTAAGTCACCTTCTCCAAGCAAGAACTGAATTTCTGCCGATCTGTGTTGATTGGTGCATTTGTATGCGTGTTTATACGTGCGTGTCTGCATTTGTATGTGCATAGGAAGAACAGTATCATCTCCTTTGTGGATAAGAATGAGGACTAGCTGTAAGTTGCTTGGTAAGATATCTGCCAGCTGCTGTGAACGTCCCCTGCTGTTGCTTCACCTCCCTGTGTTACCGGTGTTCGAGTTTAAAATGTCAGCGTTTCACGTCTCCCAGTGCTGCCGTTCAGTGCCGCGCACAGGCTGCGACTGGTTGTAACCCAGAGTTTCAGACCACCGCTCAGTGTTGTGCTCAGCGCTGGTGTCTCCTGAGATGCCGGGAATTAGCTGTCTTGATGAGAAGAGACTGTGCAGAAAATAGTATCTCTGCCCTTGTAAGCTATTTTTGCTTCGGTCCACAGCTGTTGTGGCAAAAATTCACCTCTGCCTTCACTCATAGCAGCAGCGCTCTGAGTTTTCTGTAGATAGTGTAGGAAGTAGGTGATGAGTGGACACTGTTTCAGGCTGGTACCTGAAGAGGAAAAAAACCAAGGCACAAGTATTTTAGATATTATAATTTTCTGTAATGGACTGCAACATGTAATATTTCTATCCATCTAGTAATTTCCATTACTAGAAATGTTTATGAAAAGGCGAAATGTAATTTCAATAAACAGCTTTTGAGGTTCTTATTAACGCATGGGAAATACTTGTTTATGGGTTAATACAGGGTTCTAGATAAAGATGCCTGTCTTTTATTATGGACTTGTAACTTTTCTAAATATGAATTCTGGCTGAATAGAAACACAATAAGATCCAGGCAATAAAGTAGAAACTGAATGAGTTGCACAGAACACTCAGAAATAGACATTAACTTGGAAGCAACAGAATAACAATGACCTTCCTGACCACAAAACATATGTCTTTGTTAGTGTTCCCAGAGCTCTGCAGACTGTTTAATTTCACAGTGCTGTGCCATTGGCATACAATTTTTTGATTAGAAATTCCACATCTGTTTAAGAAGATGTTCCCTCCCCCTTTTTCCTTCAAACAAAACAGTAATTCTC